TAGCCACCTATCTAGATTGATATGTTTATTTCAGTAGACTAATTCATGAGCTTTCTTGGCGCTCCTGCCTTTCATCGTGTTGCCAATGAGGACGAACAAAACGCTTCTATTGATACCAAGGGATCAAGGTACCTTGGCAGTGCTTTTTTCGAGGTGCCCTTTCCGCGCACCTGGTACCACCAGCGGTACCTTGGTACGGTAGGTGCTTGCTTCTTTGCTGGTTGCCGCTTGATACATTGTTTGGCATACTATATTACGAGGGGAGCAAAGCAGCAGTGATTCTGGATCCCAAGACACAGTAATACACAAAAGGAGTGGAAACCAGGATTTTTTAGGTTTAATCTGAAGCAATCCGACAGTCGCTGTCAGTGGCTTTTCCGTAATACCATGTAACCACCATGCTCCTGATCAGTTTGCGGACTAAAGCTACGTCGTACGGTAGTTCGGGCAGCGGTCGGAGAGCTACAAATAGGGAGCGATTTACCTTTGTGTAGATGTTTTCAGCATTGAGCACGCTGCGCTACATTGCCCGGAGGCCCCAGGGGACCGGACTTTACCCAGCTTTGCAAGCCCTTTGGCCTTTGGCCCCTGTCTCTAGTAGCTAGCTAGCTAGCTAGAGAGGTCCTTTGTGGCCCATCCCTGAAGGCCGGAATTCCGCATCTTTTTGCCTACTATTTAAGGAAGTCCAGCGCAGGATGTAAGCCGGTGCTGGCTGCTAATAATAATAGCAAGGTTTTTCGACGGATCTTTGACATATGTACGGAATTTGGAATCCTGTCGATTCGTACTCTCGCTGGATTTATCTTCGCGCCGTAACTTGTACGTTCGACCGCCGAATTCTAGCTTCGCGCACCTCCGACCTTATATCTTTTATTTTTCTCGCGCAGGTCGAGCCAGCTAGAATCAATGACAATCAAATGACAATGCCAACATTCGAGTTCGAGTATTCTGACGCAAAATCACAAAAAATTGGAGTGACAGCAGCATAAAGCAAACAAAAATGGAGCGCATCTTAGGAGCCACCGGTCGAGGACTAACCTCACCACGAACGCCACGACCAGCCCACTGGCAGCCCAATGCTGCTATTGAATCAGCCAGACTTGCCTCTCGAGAAGGAGATTGGCACCTTGCTGGAGGAACTGGAACCACTATTACTAGCAGCAGGACCAGGAATGGTGGCAGAGCCACTGGTGGCGCCGGCATGGAAGGAAGGCAGCTTTTTGATGCTGAGGATGGTGCAGAAGAAGAGAAGAAAGATGACGAAGCAGACGAACAAAATGAAGAATAGGAGGCAGTAGAAAACTTGGAAGTAAATACGAAGAAGTCCGGTCGCATCATTTTGGAAATGTCGCAGCTTCAGTCGATGCTGGAAGAGTTTGCGCTTTGCCCCATTTGCGATGATTCCACACCGTTGACTACGAAAATTCACAACTGCGGCATTGCTAGTCAAGTCAAGCTCGTTTGCCCTGAGTGTGATTTCGTCTTCAACAGCGACCCGCCGTCCGGCACCAGCATTCATGACAATGCGAATGACAAATATGAGAGAACCACTGACTACGGCATCAACATTATGATTATTGTTGGCATGATTGGCAATGGCGATGGAGCCACCGAAACTGGACGTCTTTTAGGTCTGATGGGATTGCCGAACGATACCACAATGTCGGGCACCTTTGCGAAAGTTGAGGCTCGGATTTCCCCCTTTCTGCGGGAGCTTATGGACGAGGTGATCCAAGAGAATCTAGAGGAAGAAGTCCGTCTTACAATGGAGAAACGGGAAAACCACGATCCCTATGATTTGGTCCGATGGAAATTGTCACTGCCAGAGGAGGGCGGTGCTGATTACCCAGAGGACGAATGGCCGCAACTGGAAGCAACCAATGATTTTGCCTGGAATCAGAAGGGCTCCGGTCATTCCTACAACTCGAATTCTGGTCACGGTGGCTACATCGGCGCTCAAACGAGAAAAATCATTGCTCATACGATCAAAGACAAACTTTGCCACACCTGCGACAATTGGGCCAAGCTCCATCCTGATGAGGCCTGCCCCACCGATCATTTCTGTACCAAGAATCATGTTGGTTCGTCGGGATCGATGGAGCCGGCTGCGGCCTTGGAGCTATTGGTGGATTTGTTTGACAACAAGCACGTCAAATTGAAGACCATTTGCTGTGATGATGACAGTTCCATTCGTGCTGACTGCCAGTGGAGCAACCAGGATTACCGCATCAACAACGATACCCAAGATCTTCCTTTGGTTCGTATTACTCGTGGCATCAACCGTGGACAATTGCAGGAACGGCCCAACAAAGGAAAATTGCCTGGCCGTGTCAATCCGGAGCCAACCTATGTTGTGGACCCAAACCACCGTCGCAAAACATATACAAAGAATCTCATTCAATTGGATACGGCCAAGGTGGCCGATCGGAGTGGAATGAGCCGCCACGACACCCAGCGACTTGGCAGGAGCTTTGCAAAGATGGCGAAGTCACTACACAAGTTGCCGGAGAATCAATGGGTCAATGCTGGAAAGGCCGTTGTCGAGCATCATTTTGATAATCACCAGTTCTGCCGGGAGTGGTGCCCCCGACGCCTTATGACGCCACAGCAATTGGAGGCTACGAAGAAGCTCTATCGCTCCAAGACCGATGAACCAGAGTTGTACGGTAAATTGACGGCCATCACTGCTCCATTTATTGAGCTGGAACGCCTACGGGAGATGGCCCATTCAATGGATACCAACGCAAACGAATCATTCAACAATGTCGTCTGTTGGTTCGCACCAAAGAATAAGGCCTTTGCTGGCTCGTGCTCTCTCACTAATCGCATTGCCTTTGCTGCTTGTGTGACGTCTATTGGTTTCGTTGCTTTCTTTGAGCGCCTTTTTATGAAACTGGGAATCGACATGACAGACGACGTCCTACATTTCCTTGAATCAAAGCAGCAAAACAAAGACCGTCGTCTTGCCAAGCAGACGACGAGAGATTTCAAGCTTTTGCGCAATAAACGGAAGTATGAAATTCAGAAGGAGTCGCACAAGAACGCCAAGATTGAAGAGGCTAAGAAGGCCGGTTGTTACGAGCCAGGAATGAATATGGATATGGTTACAGTGGCCCAGCTCAGGGAAGGTGCCGTTCCTGTCGCGGCTCGTCCAGTGAAGAACAATGCAGAAGCCAATGGCAACGACGACGGTGATGGCAATCCCAAAGCAAAGAAACGGAGGATCAACTACGGCAAGATGTGGTGTCCCTACTGCGGAAAGAAGGGGCACGTTTCCAAGGCTAGCAAGAAGTGCACTGCTGACTTGGCTTCCCCTCAAAAGTACAACAAAGCTGATGGCTCTGAATTGGTTGTTGTCACTCCTGGAGGAGCTGCAGCAACTACCCCCATTGCTGCTGCTGCTACAACACCCTCTAGTGCTACAAATGATGATGCTGTGGAGGTTGGATTGTGGGACCAGTTGCCCTTGGAATCCACCAACGAAGAGGATGAACAGGACGATTTGACCAACGCCATCTAATGGATGTTTTTGTTTCTGTTTCTGTTTCATAGTATCATAGCCAATCTAATCATCTAATAGTTACTCGTTCTTTGTCATCCATCTGCCTGCATCCTCTAGTCTAGATCTAGCTAGCTAGATAGATAGTAGCCAAGTGGTGCTACCTACCGGTACGGAGTACGTCGTCGGTAGGAGTGGTGACACTACGGTACGTGAGTGCGCACCGTTGGTTTTGAAATGAAGCTTACATATCAAACAAAAGGAAACGTTGCAACAGAATTTCGAGATTCAAAATTTACCTCACATTTTTGGGCAGATATGGGACTCGCTGGCGATTCCGGCGAGTTCCTCTATACTGAAACAGTACAAAAACACGTTTTGACCTCTCCCACCGGATTGGAACTGGTGGAAAGTCGGATTCCGTTGTATTGCCCAGGAACAAACAAAAAACCCATTAGCACGAAACATCGCACTGTGTGTTAGAGAGCTCATTCTCTCGATGCCTGCTGATTGTATCGCCCTACAACCATAGACTTAGCTGCTGCTAATAGTGTAAGGAAGGCAGTAGTGTGTGGTTGCACGGCAATACTACCAGCAGCCATCGAGATTTATCGGTCGGAAGCAGTGATTCGAAGTTTCGACCGCTCTTCCACAACGTCGCGGAAGGATAACAGGCCGATCCAATATCAAGGAACACCCACCGATTACACCTTCTTACTACTATTAGACAGACATCATGTATTGATAGAAGTCAGATTGCTGAATCATTCGTCGATTACAACACACCTTAGTAGCAGCTGACGATTCTTCATTATTTGTTGTTTCTCTCGCGATGTTACTGGGTAGAATTGGTGCGTTTATTGCCAGCCTGCTGCTGGCTTACATCCTGCGCTGGACGTCCTTAAAATATTTTAAAAGCTGCCCGCGACGGTAGGGCTTTTCCCACTCAGTAGGCAGAAAGATGATTGGTCGAGGAGTACCGGAGAACACTTCATATGTCAGCACCGTATAATGAAGCATGATTCAAAATTACGAGCCACTGTGCTACCTTACCCGTGTCGATGGGTCCGGAACACAAAAAAATCTGTAGATCCGATATAGATATTTAGCTGGCGTGGAGAGATTCCACGCTACTAGATAAATGCTAGACGAATTTTCCACGCGTTCCGTTTTTTGTATGTGAGTGAGTAGGATTGCTCCGCAACCTACTCTAACTACACTCTACAGTCTCCCGCGGGAGTTTCAGATCTCGATTCCCTTTGATTGTGGATCTCTTCGTTGATTAGTTTTCATAGTTCCAATCCTCTCATAATTTCATTCTCTCAACTAAAAAACTCGAAAGATCTTTACACTACTTTTAACGTAGTGCAGTGGTCCTCCAGTCCTTGTGGTCACACAGCTTTGCACAGGATTGTGGTGAAGTTCATTCCACCATCGCAATTTCTTTGTTGTGTTTCTTGGAAGAGCTGGAAGTGTGCGCAGCAAAGAACTTTTCTCCAGCTTCCTTGGTTGATAACGCCAACTGCCTTTCTCCGCCTCTGTCAGGTCAGTGTTCATCAACTTCTGCAGCCTCTTTGCCTCCTTCTCACTTGCTAAGGTTTGCTCGTGGAGGTCTCCTCTACCCTTGGTTGCGCGATTCTTCAGGCACCTCTTGTCGTGACCTCTGTGTGGTGCTTTCTTGCTGCCACTGCCTTGCAAATGAATACAGTCTTGTATAGGATAAAGGCTGCGTTTCCTTCAAGGTCAAGGCTGTTTCTCCTCATCTTTCGCTTTCCTCTTATTGGGTTGTTTGGCAGCTGGCGAGTTGGTGCTTTCTTTTACTGTTGAGAATTCACTTGTTGACTTTTGGCGTCCCATTGCTTCAGTTTGTGGAGCGGTAGAGCGCTTCCCCGCATATGGGTTGACTGGTGGGTGTCTACTAGCCATGTTCCGCTCTTTTTTTTTTTTTTTTTTTTTTTTTTTTTTTTTTTTAATAAGAGTTTACGTGGTAAGTGGTGTGTATCTCAAGTTAACGGCGGCTGTTTGGTCATTGTCACGATGGAATCTTGCTCATCGGCATTGTCAACTTTACGTTCAGGCGAAAAATC